GATGGGATCATGAATTGTTGGCAGCAGCCTTCCGGATGGTGTTTCTCAATGACCACAAATGATGGATATAACAACCGTCTGGGAAAATAGTTAATATGTAAATTCCTGGTCCCCACCAGGACCTACTGGGTCAGGCTTTGGGAGTAAGCCCTGGGATGTATATCTCGAACAAACTCCTATAGGGATTTCTAAAATAGCTATGGAATGAATACTCTTACGGGGCAATCTCATCAGAGCTTGGGGAGAAAGCACCAAGTGGGTACACACCTGAGCAGTTACTTAAAAAAAAAGTCATGAGATTACCCACTGAAATTCAAGAGAAGGGAGGGTGGATAAATTAGCTCCTTCAAGAAGGGCCTGAGTGGTGCTGGGCAGTGCTAGAATCCTTGCGGTGCTGTATCTTGGTGAGACAGTCTAGGTTCTGACTACCCATTGTTATTAGAACGCTGGGAAACTTTGACAATAAATTCTGCACCACAAGGTTCTACATGGCATTGAACTAATCTCTCTTGTGGATTCCATGGACCTACTGGTTTACATCCAGAGCTTCAGATCCTGCACAGCTATTGTCTACTGGGCCCCAGAGATTCCCACTGCATGACTATGTCACTTCAGGTAACAGTTCCACATCTATTTAAGACATGGAGTGCCATTTGCATTTGAAGTATCAATTATCACTGTTACGCTTTCTATTTTTGAATTGCTCATCTTTAGAGAACTCACTTTTCAATATTTTATTAAAATCCTCTAATGCTTGACATTTTGAGCAAAACATTTGTTTAGCTGGTTTTCCATAAAAGTGATGATCCATTTTTGTAATTTTATTTGCCTTCATTTATTGAATTTTAAAAAGCATTGTTGATTACACTGACTCACAGGAAAAAAATATAGATGCTTTAAAAAAAGAGCCAAACTTGCAGATCTTGTCAAGTGAATTTTTTTGCAGATTAGAAAAAGCTAAACCACATCTCAGCATTTTTCTACCAGGTACTTGGGAAGAGAGAACGGGAATCAAGTTTCTGGGGTATAACAGAAGTCCCAGATCTCTCTGGATGGATACAGCCACTTTATATGCCAATGAGGCTCTGTGTTATGCCAATATCCAGCCCATAGAAAGGGCATGGCAAAGGGCAGGACAGGGTTGGGCAATCCAGCAGGACCCTTCAGGGGACCAGAATTATATGCAACCTGTTGTGAGAATCTTTGAGTTGCTGGCAACGTCCTGCATTGTTGCTTCCAGGCAGAAATCTGGCCTTAGGACTCTTTGGTTAGGGCAGGGTCATAAACTCGAATGCCTGTGGGGCCCAAGGAGATAGCATAAAGGAGTGAAGAGACCTGGATAGGAGACTGGTGAATTAGGGAGACATGTCCCCACTGAAAGGCCACCCCGACTCAGCTTCTGGCCTTGACCAGGATTGTGGACCCTGAATAGCTGGAGCTTTTGAAGTTTTAAGAGACACTGATAGACTGAATTTTTATGTGAGCTCTCTAGATATCAAATGTTGATGTTAATTCAGATAGATTTTAAGGACAGCCACAGTTAAGCTAAGTATCTGTGGACCACTGTTCTGGGACTCTTGATTGAGGGGTTGAGGGGCCAGAGTCCTTTAAATTAATACCACAATGAAATGGAAGGGAGTTTGTATTTTTCAGATCAGAATGAGAGAAAGTTGGAGTCTGTGGCTGGTTTGCTGATGCTGTTAGCAGAGACTCAAACCATACACCTTATAGGGATAAATTGGTTCTATTCTGGTCAGTAACCAGGGTCAACGTTCATGGCCGTGTGCCTTTGTCACCGAGAGGCTCTGGATGAATGTAGATGGATCAGTGCAGTCAGAACTAAGTCCACGCTCTACTGATTGTGGGCCAGCGGTGACACCTTCCTATCAGGAAGCTATCACATTGCAGAGCTAGCCCCTCTCTCCTGACCCCCACATCCTCAGAGGAAAACAAAGCTGAGTATTTCCATTGATTACCTTATAAAACTCTAAGCCTTGACTTGCTGGAAAAAGAGGTAGTGAGAATTAGACTGACTGCTTTTGTCTTTCTGAAGAGTGATAGCCAGACAGCATGTTCCATTGGGATTGAATTTCAGTGTCAGGTTGTCTTCTAATTAGTCAGAGAGAGAAAGCATGGCTATATAATTACAGCATATGGACACAGTGATACTTCATGGTTGAGTGTTCTTGAAAAATTCATCTGAACTCTGGGAAATCAAATAGAGTTTAAAGAGAAAGGCTAGACTTAAAGCACGTTGAATACAATTCTGTATCCTATAAAAGGCTGTGTGTATGGACTACAATTCTAGTTCTGGCTTTGTCTGCAGCTGGTATGGGTCTTCATCATTTAAACTATCTTGGCTCCAAGTGATTGAATTGGGCTAATCTAATTGTAATAGTCCATTATTTTACAGCTTACACTTCATTTTTTTTAAAAAATGTTTTTATTGATTTTTTTTAGCGAGAGAGGAAGGTACAGAGAGGTAGAAACATTAATCGGCTACCTCCTGCATGCCCTCTACTGGGGATCGAGCCTAAAACCAGCTGTGTGCCCTGACCAGGAATTGAACCGGGACCTCTCAGTCAGTCCATGGGAGGACGCTCAATCCACTGTGCCACACCAGCTGGGCTACACTTTGTTTTTTTAAGCTGGTTGTTTTTCTGTTATTGCTTGTAATCGATTACTCTTCATTTCTCTATCTTGTTTTGTTTTGAGAGGATAGTAGAATTCTTCTGTTTGACAGAAGTTTCAGATGGACCTGTCATGTCTATGTTATTGTTTTTTTATTAGTTGGGACATGGAATGATTACTGAGATAGGCCTAAAAGGAAATAAGATGATGTGGATTCATTACCAAAAATATTTTAATGAATATTATAAAGTCATATATGGTTGGTTCTCTCTGTTCTGCTGTAAAAGGAAACACATTTAATTGTTAATTCAAATACAGTACTTAAATACCACCAGAAAATACAACTATAGATATAATCGCTAAAGTTAAAAAGCCTGATGATGCTAAAAACGGAGGGTGCAGAGCAGTGGAACTCTGACACTCTGCTGGTGGGAGTGTACATTAGTGTGGCCACTTTAAAACCTGTTTGTCATTATGTCCCCAAGTTGAACATATGCATACTCTGTGACCCAGCAACTTATGCCTAAGTATATACTCAACAGAAATGTGTGTGCATGTTCACCAAAGAACACATAACAAGAATGTTCTTAGAAGCATTTTTGGCAATAGCCTTCAGTTAGAAACAACCCAAGTATCTGCCAATGTTTAACTTGTAAATAAATCGTGATGTCTTCATACAATGGAATACTATAGAGCAACAAAATTAATGAACTACAGAATTTCTGAGCTACACGGCTGATTCTCATAAATGTAATATTGAGCAGGGAAAAAAAAGGCAAAAAAGAGTTATACACTGCATGATCTTATTTCTATAAAAACACAAACAAAGCCCAGGCAAAACTAACCTACGGTGTTAGAAATCCAGATAAGGGTTACCCTTGGGGAAGGAGAGGATAGTGAATGGGAGTAGGGAAGGCTTCAGGGATGCTGGTAAGGTTCTATTTCTTCACCTGGTGTTGGTTATTATGGGCATGTCTGTTTTGTGACAATTCACTTAAGATTTATGCACTTTTCCGAATGTATGTTTTAAAAATATTAAAAACAAAAAAATTGAGGCTTTGTGCTTAGACATAACAACAATGCCTCTAAAAAGTTGAAATAACCTATAGGAATTAGTAACAGCTGTTGCTGAAACTCATTATTTTATAACACTGACTTCAGCCAAATTGCTCATAACTACCAATCCCACCCCAAAAGATAAGTAAGCTATCTTCAGTTGCCCAGTTGATTAAAAAAAAAAAGTCCAAAGTTCCCTATTGAAACAGAATTCTATCAACAATAGTGCAAACCATTTGTAATCATTTGAATCAATTAGTACTGTTGAAACTTTTGAACCCCTTCACCTAGTTCATGCGGACCCTCTCAGGGTTACCAAGTGAACACAGATAGTATTTTGAGCCAGTCAGGTCCTCACAGCCTAACTCCTCTTGGCCACTGGTGGCAGAAAGTGATGACTGGCATGCGTGCAATGCCTTCCTAGGCACACAGCACCACAGCCACCACTAGGAGGATGCTGCTCATGTGGCCTTGTCACTGTCACCCTTAATCTGGCCATCTGACCCTATTTCCTGGGAAGAAATGGAGGAGGAGAACTTTAACCCCTGACTGAGGACAAAGCTGCACAGAGAGAGAGAGAGCTCAGTACTATCTCATCTTGTTTTCATATCGTTGCCAGCTTTCTAGAAGGGCAGCACCAAAGAGAATTGTAGGTGTTTCCCCCCAGGTGCCACTTGGGAATCCTTGCCGTCCCACCAGGTGGCAGTGAGGTTGTTAAACCTATGGAAGGAATCACACCTGCGCTGGGAGGACACCAGGGTATTCTCTGGCAAGAAGACATAATTCTTCCTTTATTGTAAGTAGTGTTAATGGACCTGGAAGGAATCCAAATGTCCCCAAAGAAAGCCGGTTCTAAATCTGATCAGGCTATTAGAACCACTATACCCTAGAGCAGTGGTTCTCAACCTTCCTAATGCCACGACCCTTTAATACAGTTCTTCCTGTTGTATGTGGGCGGACCCGCCTGGAGACGGATAGAGGAGCAGTGTCTATGTTTTCCGATGGTCTTGGGCAACTCCTGTGAAAGGGTCGTTTGACCCCAAAGGGGTCACCACCCACAGGTTGAGAACCACTGCCCTAGAGAGTCTATACTTAGAGTTCTTCCAACACACACCCCTATTCCACAAAGATTAACATTTCATTATAATGTTGATGAGATGCCATAGGAACTTAACTCTTGTTTATATTAATTAGCCTGTGGTAAAATTGGTTTCCTATACCTGCACCCCCCACACACACACCTGCTTAAAGTCACAGAACCTATTGACAATGTAAAGTGAGAACTTACTGTATTTACCCTGAGAGACACGACTCAAAGCAGTCAGTACCCCTCAGGAGTGATGGAGCTTCTATTCCTGTCTACTGCCAAGATGAAGGACATCTCATATTAATTTCGCAACCTAATGGATGGGATTCCTCTTTCTCAAAGCTCTTTGGACTTTGATCTGCCACCCTGCCCTTCTAATAAGGGAACTCCATCAAACCTCACTTCTAGGTTAACTAGCCTCTCATCTTTTGATGACAAACATACTCAGGGTCTCTCCACACTAATAATCATAGTAAAAAAGGACTAATAAAATGATCAAACCCTTCCATTGACTGCTTTGCCTCTCATAAGCTGCTGTCTGAGATCTCCTTATTTTACAACCAAACCTCTCTAGAAAATCTCATTTTAGAAAAGCTCATTTGCTTCAACTTCTTGACCACGCACTTATCTTCTGAACCCTCCCTTCCCCATACCACGAGGGTGTCAGTTCTACACCGTTCAGACCGGGACCTGGAGGAGAGAAAACCGCCAGGAAAGTAGGGCAGTGAGCGAAAGGGTCTGATCAGGGGTGCGGAGTGCTGCAGGCACAATAATTACTTGCTAAGTATCTGAGCCTCCCGTGTGTGCATGCAGCACTGTGCCAGCCACTGCAGGCTTCTAAAGAAATGTCAAAAGTGACCTTTGATAAACAAACAAACAAAAGACTTACCAAGGAAAATGGGACTAAGAATTCTTCTCTGGAAGTGAGGTCTGAACTGAATTTTGAGGAGTGGACTTGAAACAGAAGGAAGAATAATCGGCTGAGGGTAAAGGGAGTTGTGAGCCTGCAGACTTGGAAAAATGAAATTAGAGTGATATTTTTGTTTGATTTAAGAATTGGAAGAAGGGGGGAAAAACTGGAAGAGGTGGAACAGAGCCAAATTAGGGGGTCCTTCCAGGAGCTCCTCATTGAAGACACTTTTGAGTTTTTTGTTTACTGTCCTATCTTCCCCTTCAAAGTCAAACATCTTCAGTCTGTCTTCTGATCTCCCTTTCACTTAACAATCCATTCCAACATGTATTCTATCCTAACCCTTCCATGCAAGCTGCCCTTGAGAGAATTCAAAGGACTCTTGAGTTAAAAGGCCACAGTGAGATAATACACGAATTGAGGCAAATTAAACTCTCTGAGCCTCAGTTATCTCTTCTCTAAAATGGGCATTATAATACCATTGCCTTCCTCATAGGGTTGTCAGAAGGATTACATGCATTTGAAAGCCTTGCTCAAGAACTGAATATTGCTACTATTTCTTGACCTCTTAGCTGTATTTGATACATTTGACTGCTCACTCCATCTTGAAATGGTGGAATTCTTCTGGACTATCCCCTTGTTACCTCTCATTCTACACACTCCCCCTGGGCAACTTTGTCCCAACCGCGAGCCCTCCATTGTCTCCTTTATCTTCTTACTCTTAGATTTACCTCCAGTCCAGACATTTCTTTCGAGCCCCAGATTTGTGCTTGATATATGTTGTCAGGTGCTTCACGGTAATCTCGAACTCAACACCTCTGAAAGCAAACTCACTTCTTTCCAACATCTACAAGGAAACTTCTCCTTCAGCATTCCCTACTGCAAAAAAAAGACATTCATTTTCATTCTAGGCAGAACCTGGGGACTCATTTTTGACTCTCTCCTGTCCCTCATCCCAGGCAATCACCAGATTACTACCTCTAAAACAGAGTCTCCTCCTCCTCCTCCCCCCCCCCCCGCCCTCCTTCTCCTTCTGTCCTATTGCCACTCTATCTAAAACCTAGACTACTCACAACTCTGGCCGCACCCGAGTGCTTTTGCTTTCCTTCAACTTTCTTTCCCCATATGGTAGCCAGCTAGAGTAATCCCTTTTCTCAGTTAATCAAAATGGATGAGCAAATAAAATCTAATCATGTTCCAACCTAGCCTGAAAATCCTTCAATGGCATTTCAATTGGTACTTCAAAATAAGCCAGTTGTTCCAAAGACTTAGGGAATCTTAACCACCCATAAATACACTCATGATTTTATATGCAGTTTCCTTGTGATAGGAACTCTAATTTGATGCTCATTTCAACATTAGATTCTCTTTACTAATACTAATTGCATGCAAAAAGTAGCAAAGACATTCATAAACAATGCCAATGAGCACCGCCAATGAAACCGACCTGTGCAAGCACCCTGACCGCCTTCTTCTATCTTAGGATCACCAGTGCCTCACACAGCGTCTGGCACAAAGTTTGTCCTTAATAAATATTTGTTCGATGCATGATGAAAAAGGAAAAAGGCTATCATAAAGTTCCTCATAGAACTGAAATATAATTCACAGAAACCAGTTTGGTTTCAAACTCAAGTCTATAGCCAGCAAAATATTTCCCCCTCAGATGGCCAAATGTTTACTAACACATGCATGTCAAATGAGCTGCAATAACCTATTTGACAAAAAGGGAAAGGAATGGCTGTGCCAGCCACAGTGCCTAAGACCACATGAGATTTTGGAAAATTCACTACACAAGGTTCCTTTGCTCCAGGAGCTTCCAGGCTATTGGAGAGAAGCAACTGTCCAGATATTTAATATTTGATTTCATGGCTCCTCCTATGGACTGTGTCTTTCTTTAGGTGTCAAATGAGTAAAATCTACCTCTTCATGTCTGATGAGGGTTGGGAAATAAACATTAATAAAAAAAAAAATCACATGCACAATAAGAGCAGCTATCACATGGAGTGGTCAGTATGTGCCAGGCATATATGTAGTACTTTATATACACTAATGCAATCACTCTCTCTGAGGGGTGCTCTTCTTCATTTTATACATAGAGAAATTGTGGCATAGAGGGGTTAAAAACCTTGCTTGGGGTCAGGTAGTCTGCATCCAGGGTTCATTGTTGAACCACCCACTCTGCTGCCTCTATGCTGTGTGCTATATAGCATAAACATATTTATAAATATAAGGTCTACAAAGGGAAGATGAATGGTGCTCTTGGAAAATATAACAAGGGCATCTCATCTTGTCTTAGGTCATTGGAAAGCTGACTGTTAACTAAGCAAAGTGGGGAAGCAGGAGGGAAACAGACAGGAAACTGGTAACAACAGAGGGAAGAGTGTGTAACCACCTGAATATGGGAGTTTTTTGCTGGTGGTGGTGGCAAAGAGCAATCTGGAAAGATTTCACAGAACAGGCAGATCTGGAGGAAGAAGGCCCACCCCCACCACACACACACACACACATTGGTTTAGTGCCTAGAGAGGAAAAGGAAACATCATGAATTTGGAATGAACTTAATGAATTTTGGGGGACAGGGACACTGGTTATTAGGATTCTTTCCATGGTGAGTAGGAGACACTCAATTTGAACTGGCCAAAGAAAACAAAGACTTTATTGACTTGAGTTGCTAAAGAGTCCAGGATATAGAGCCGGCAGTAAATGGATAAATGATGTTTTTAGGGTCTCTCTTCTCTTCCTTACCTTCATTTTGATCTGTTGGCTTCATGCTCAGGCAGTGGAAAGATGGCAGCTCTAGATTGTATCCACCCAGCTCAGCAAACTCACGAAGGGGAGTACTTCTTTGACTAAAAACTCAGGGCTGACTCTCATTGGCTCAGCTTACATTACATCCTCCTTGCTGAACCGATCTCTGTGGCTGGCTATGAGGCACTCTCATTGGCCAGGCCTGGATCATGTGCCTTACTCTGGAGCCAGGACCAGGGTCAGAGACACCTGAACCTTAGGTTCTGAAAATGAGAGAAAGAATGTACACCAAATTAGAATCTGGGAGCTGGGCAGGGAAAAACAGAGAATGCCACAAGTAGTTGGCTGGAGCAGTGCTCTTCACACTTGTTATGCAAAATCTTATTTGGTAGGTCTAAATGGAACTGAGAGTCTGACTTCTAACGGGCTCCCAGGTGAGGCCAATGCTGCTGGTTTGTGGACCACATTTTGGGTAGCAAGGGGCTCACTACCTGGAGTGTCTGCCTCCCTCAAATTCATTCAGGCTTTTTTGGTCTGTCCTTCCATTTGCCTACTTTTCCCAGTTCTAACTGTATACTTTCTTTAATTTTTTTTTTTCTTTATTGATTTTAGAGAGGAAGGGAGAAGGAGAGAGAAACATCGATTGGCCGCCTCCTTCATGCCCCCCACTAGGGGCCTGGGCCTGTGCCCCGACCAGGAATTGAACTGGTGACCTCTTGGTGCATGGGTCGATGCCCAACCACTGAGCCACACCGGCCAGGCATAACTGATACTTTCATACCAGCTAGTTCCTATACATGAAACATTTTTCCTCAAAGCTCTCTCTTTAGCTTGTAAACATTTTCATGATCTTACCTCTTATCACTTGCAAATAATTTTTCCTTACTGAGTGAAGCTAAAGTTACAATTATTCTTCTTCAACTGATGCCTTTTCCAATTTGCACCTGTGAATACTACCCTGGTAATAGTGTAAAAATGTATTTAATTATTCATGAGCCTGACAAGATCTGCTGTGTTCAATTGATTTGTTGTATATGTAATTCACTGCCTGAGTTTCAATCTGGATGTTTGTCTACATTGAACACTTTGGTTTTAGGCCATATGCTGTTACAAGGCATGCAAAAGATTATTTTAATTTGCTGATCTAGCACTCCATAATCAGATGATGTTCAATTTTCATTTTGTCAATGGTGTGTCAGTCCTGTGGACTCTGCAACCCACTGCGTCAATGCTGGCAGAAGTACTGAACTCTATTATGGCATACAGTCGTCCCTCGTTTATCATGGTTAATCCATTCCAGACTCTAGTGGTTTCACCTGGCATTGAAGGATTCCTGGGGTGCTGGAATACATAGGCCTACAGTGCATACATACATTAATTTTAATTGTAATACAGGCGTGTATAATTGACTCAGACAACCGAGCGCGTGCTGTATCATTTTCACTGTCTTGATCAACATTTTAATGAACATATTTGAAAAAAACCATGATAGAGTGAAACCGCAAAAGTCGAAGCTCGAAGTGGCAAGGGATGACTGTAAAACTTCCATATCACCTAAGACTTTGGATTAATGCCTTTATGGTGGAATGTCTATGAAATTGAGTTCCGAGGCCTGAGTTTTAGCCTTGAGGATGCTCCTGAACTTGTTTTGTGACTTTTCTGAAGGCTTTAAACCTTTCTAGGCCAACTGGCCATAGTTTGGGTGTTTGGCTGACTTTTTCTCTTTTCAGGATGCTCAGCGAGGTTAGTGCACCAGCTTCATTTGCAATGTTTGGGTAACACGATCCAGGTGGGATATCTGATCCTCTAAGCTTTGTTTTACTGATCTGCAAAAGGAAATGATAATAGCTTCTATTACCCGATAGTTATGGGGGTGACTGAAAATCATGAAAGAACATCATGACTGACAATGGTAAGAAATCAAAGTTAACGATCACCATAATAAGGATTGGTTTGGAAGATGTAGGCATAATGACTTAGCATAAGCAGGAATTTACTCCTTAAATCCACTGACCACACAATATGACCACACAAAACTTTAGTCAGCAGTTGCCTTTAATTTCCACTCAGATCCTTGGGATATTAGCAATCAACGGTTCTCAAATCTTAGTGTATAACATTAAATAGATAATGGAGAATAGGAAGTGCAATATTTTCCCTTGGTTAGACAAAATGCTAGCTTCAATTATATTAATTTCTCTTCTAATTCAACTGTATTAAATATATTGGCTTAAGAATTACCACGTGTGCCCTGGCCAGTTTGGCTCAGCAGTTAGAGCATCTCAGCCCGCGGACCAGAGAGACCCAGGTTCGGTTCCCACTAAGAGTACATATTTCAGTTCCACCCTGACCCTGGTTGGGGATGTGCAGGTGGCAACCAGTGATGTGAGAGACACACATCAATATTTCTCTCTCTCCCTCCCGCTCCATCTGAAGATAAATGCAAAAATGTCCTCCAGGGAGGATAAAAAATTACCACGTTGTTTCACTTGTACACCTTTTCTGTTGAAACCACTGAATTGCTACCTTGTATGTAGAATTGTTTCACACATTCGAAACAGTGGGCTCCTGCACTTCGCAAGAACATATCTGCTAAGTGGTGTAGATTTGTTCTTTGAGCCAGAAGCCACAACCTTGTATGTAGGAAAAAATGTCTAAGCCAGTACAGAACCAATTGCAAAACCTAAAGAGAGTGGGTGCCCCAGAGAGGTATGTTTTTCTTTAAGATGCGTTAAAGTTTGGTTCTCCTTTTTGGATTCAAATTGCTCTTCACCGTCCCTACTCCTTGCCCAGAACCAAGACTTGTCCTTTGTACCTGCTAATATCACCAACTGCCTGAGCGCGTCGCTCTGGCCTCCGCCCAGACCCAGATTCCTCCCCACTCCGGCGCCCTTTCCCAGGCAGCCGGCCCACTGCTGGCAAGGGCTCTCTGACACTCCCCTCCCATGTCCTGACCCCATTTACTTCGTGGGTCCCCGCCGGTGCCATCTGGCTGCAACCCCGAGGAGAAAGTAAGAGTTGCCTTAGCTACCTCTACCCCTGTGCATTCTCTGCTCCACAAAATATAAAGACCCGGGGCTATCGGGTGACGGGAGGCAGAAAAGAAAAAGTGAAGACAGAAAACGGCCCAGTGTCCTTGCCGGCCCTCCCCGCGGCGGCGGGGCCCGGGGCGCACCGCCGGGACCGGGGCGCCCCACCCGCCCAGCCTGCTGGCGGAGGTGCGGCCCTTCCGCGGGGCGGTGCTCAACGCCCGGCGCTGTCCCTGGTTCCCCGGCGCAACGCGGGCCGCGAGGAGGCCGTCGCCGTCGCATCTGGGTCTGACCGGGGGACCCGCGCGGTGTGGCTGCAGCAGCGCGCGGGCGAGGGCCTGGCCCCGCATTTCAGCCCAAATAGAGTGAAGCAAGAAATAAAAGGAAAAGTAAAACGCCGAGCACGGTGGCCCGGGGCGCGGGCGGGCGGAGAAGGGAGGAGAGGCGGCGGGGCCGGGCCGGGGCCCAGCGCACCGCGGGGGCGCAGGGCGCGGGCAGCACGCGGCGCGCTCGGGCCGCCCTTCCTCCCCGCGCCGCCGGCCGCGGCCCAGGCTCCCTCGCTCCGCCAATCCCCGCCCTCCGCTCTCCTCCCGCCCTCCCCGCCGTCCCCGCCGTCCCCGCCCTCCCGCCTCCGCCTCCTCCCTCCCGGCCTCCCTCTCCCAGCCAAACTGAAAGCCGGACCCCCGGCCGCCTCCCCGCCGCCGCCCGGCCTCCCCGCGAGCGCTCCACCATGGACAGTCCTGTTTTCACCTTATAAAGATGGCGGTGCGGGATCGCTGCAACCTTTAGACTAATGACTGTCCGAAACATCGCCTCCATCTGTAATATGGTGAGTGGCTGCCGCCGCCGCCGCCTGCGGGGTCGCGCCCGAGGCGCGGCGAGGCAAAGAAAGGGAAACCCGAGCCGCACACTAGCCGGCGGCCGGGTGGGGGTGGGGGCGAGGGGCGGCAGGGTCCGCGCGGCGCCGCTAGAAGTTCCTGGCCCCGGGCTGGGCCGGCCGGCCGCAGCCCCTGGAGCCCCTGGGGGAGGGGTCTCGAACCCTCCGCCCCCTCTCTGCCTGGGGACCTGGGAGCCCGCCCGCGGGTCCCCGGGCCGTGCCGCGTGCCTCCGCCCTCGGGTTGTGGTGGAAGAGTCCTGGGGGAGGCCGAACCCGGACGTCCCAGGGGAGGGGTCTGGGGGGACAAGCTGGGGATGGGGGGCACTCTTCCTGTCCTTGCGGTAGAAGAATCCCTGCTGGCGTCGCTGACTGCCCTCGTCTCATTTTGAGTTCACTCCTTAAACTGTATTTAACATTCACTTTGCAAAGGCATTCGGGGTATCTGAAGACATTTATGTCATAAATGTCATAAAGCTGAAAAAAGTGCAAAATTGTGCTTAGAGAAGTGAACTTCACTTGGTTTGAGAAAGCACAGTAATTTGTTCTAGACGCCTCAGTTTCCCCATTTGTGAAAGAGGGACAAGGTTATATGCAGAAACATTTGAAGGCCCAAGGGTGGTGGGGCCAGCTGTGCCAGTGCAGGAAGTCTTCAGGGTTATCCTGCCTGAGGCACTGTAGACCCAGTGGAGGCTGGTGGGCGTGGACACAGCAAGGGGACATCACTAGGCTGTGATGGGGACTGGTTCCAGGATGTGGTGGTGACTTTAACTTGGGTTTCTCTCATTGCTTTCCCTTGCTTTTCAGTTTCTGCAGGAACAGCTTCTAGCCCTTGGGTCCTCAGGGTGCACCCTGCTGGCACCCCCACTTGTCAGAGCCTTGGTGTGCACAGCTTGCCCCCTGGAGTAAGACATTGTTCTCCTGTGCAGGTTGAGTGTGTGTGTGTGTGCTTTGCTTTGGTTCCACAGGGTCCTTCCCCCACACTTCCCATCAAAGCTCCACTATCTCCAGTTGGAACACGTGTTCTTTTAATGGCAGGCTGGGGAGAACCTCCCTTGTAGCTAGTAATACAGGCCTCTAAAGGGAATCTGAGGAGGCTTAATTGAGAAGTCTGGAGGTAAGGTGATCTGACTACCCTTCCCCCATCACACAGCCTTTTAAATCTTCTGTCCCACATTTTGTTGCAAAATTAACACATGGCAAAGGAGCATTAAGGAGCCATGTGTTAGCTCAGGGGTGGAATTGAGACCCACTGATGCTGGCTTCAGTTTTCAGCACTGTTGGATGTTGTCACTGCCGTTGTCAGCAGAACAAATGCTGGGGCTTCCCAGAGTTATGGCTGCCAAGGTTTTGGCACAGGACCAGTTAAATGTGTTGGGTTCCTGGAGCATATCCGTTTCCTCTCTTGTCCTTCTTCACCAGGGATGGGTCTCCTGCTCCTACCTGTCCAGTGGCATTAATGTTGCTTGGTGCAGTGAAAAGGTGATGCCTTCCTGCTCAATTTCTCTCCAAGATCAGCGCCTGAGGGGAACTTTGAAACCAGAGCAGTTTGAATATTCTTCTTTCATGCTTGCTGGGGTGGCTTCACTTATAGGGCAGTGAGGTGCAGTCCCAGCCCTTGGTAGTATTCCTGTCCTGCTTGTGTGTGGTAACACCTATCTGTACTAAAGCAGCTTGGAAACTTGAGAGCTAGTGTGTCCCAAGAGGAAGCCTGCCTCCAGCCTTTTTTTTTTTTTCTTTTTTCCACTCTTCAATACAGCTGGGGCTTCTTGGCACACCAGGGCAGAATGTCACTACCTGTTTCCAGTAAAACTCAGCCAGGGAGGCAAGCTGCAGGGAGGACATGAGAGGACAGGCTAGTGCTATGTCTGGAGAGCTGACAACTTTATGTGGAATCTTTAAAAAGGTACCAAATTTAGGATCATCACCCAGGTAAGGCGAGGAACCAATACTTCATAAGTAGGGAGTTTTTTGTTCCTATTGGACACTGTGTCTTGAGCAAGTAATGAAGACTTGCTGGGTTCAAGTCCAGGATCTAACACGTACCAGCTTTTTGTCCTTGAATAGGTTGTGCTCTGTCTTTCCTTATCTCTAGAAATGGGATGATAATGGTTCCTACCTCCTAGGACTGTTGTATTAAGTGAGTTACTAGGCCTAGTACATAGCAGGTAGGGTACTCAGTGAGTGTTAGCTATTATCAGTGTCATCTCATGTCACCTTCAGTAGTTTGAAGGACAATGGAGATTATGCCTTCTTGGACCTGTTGGAAGAAGCCACTAATATAAACAATTCACATGTTCATTTGTGTAAACCAAAACGAATGGCAATATACAAAGGCTGGGATGGGAATCCTTAACCCCGCCCCTTATAAAAGGCTGCTCAGGTCACCCTAGTCCCTCCCAGTCTCACTTCCCACAAGAGAAGGCTTGGTGATGAGCATATGGCTGTCTCTTTACCGGATCGGATGTAAATTTTCATTGGACTCTTTAGATTCCTCACAGGATGATGAATTGTTTCCAGGTAGGTCTTCTGTGGGTCTCTCCTTTCTGTGTAGCTAATCCCTTGGGCTCTTATTGGTCCTTCCCTCTCCTAACTCCCTTTGTCCTAGCTGGTTTGAGTAGTTGTAATAAGATCTTAGCAAGTGGCGATTGCCTTTTTTTTAAAAAGCAGATCATTTGGCATATTGTAAATACGATGATGTTTTTCCAGATAGGGTGTTAAACGATATCATCCTTCTAGGTAGGACTTGAACAAACCAAGACATACCATTGAAAAGTGGATTTGTTTTGTCCACCAAACGAGAAAGGACCCAGCGGAGCAGAAACAAAACTTGTAGTAAATCCTTCGTGTGATTGAGAAATAAACACCTCTGTTTTTTTTTTTTTTCTTCTCAAACTTCTTGTGCCAAGTTTAGACATAGGGAACTTGGAAAATATTCACCTCCCTTCACTTGTCCCTTTCCACTGAAGTTTTATTGTCCATTGGAAATTTAATGCTAGTTTCCATTTGTTTTAATTTTACTTCCATGTGAATTCCTGCCATAACGATTCTTGATCAACTTGCTCAAGGCTTGTCAGCTCAGCCACACAGCGTGTCTGGTTCACAGATAATAAAGCTTGTTTGGCTGGTGTGTTGTAATTTTTAACATGCACTAGCTGCTACCAAGCATGAGGAAATGTCCCTTGTTGATAATCCTCTGATTTTTGTCCAGACCAATGGATGTAACTTCCTATGTATTTTTATGGCCCTACAAATGGAAGGTTTTTGTTTTGGGTTAAGTTTTCTGTTAGAAGAGCTTGAGGAATTTTCTAAAGAGAAAGCATTTGTTAGGAGAAACCAAACGTGCCCTTTAGAAATGGACTTGGACTGACGCAAATTGGTCTAAATCCTCTCATCTTAATTTCACTTGTTAATAGAGCCGTGAGATGTATCATTGAGGAAATGTCATGTGTCAAATAGATTACATTTTTGTTTCCATAAATGGCCATTTGTTGAGGACCTTCGATGTCAATGTTGGCACACACTATGTTGCAGGTGCTGAATAAATGAATGAGGTGAGTCCCTGTCTCTAAGGAGCTTAGCATTTTCATATCTTGTGGTCATAACATTGATAAGGATGAAAATTTCAGTGTAGTGTGACATCCACACAAAGGTTGAACAGAATCTCAGCAGTAATACAGTGGAAAGACTGGTGAACACAGCAGGATGTTTCTTTAATATATTTGTGTTTGAGCAAAGTTTGACTATTTTTTATATGAGGACATGATTATAGTCAATGTAACTTAGAACTGGGATCTGTACCATTGGGTGTCTCTCCAGTTAAACAAATTGTATTTCTTGCAACCCTGGTTTTTCTCAACTTTTAAAACTGATTTTTTTGTTGTCAAAAGCTTCTTAGTGAATAGTACTTCTTAGAGTCTTTATAAAAATTTATACATAGCCCTGGCCAGTTTGGCTTAGCGGTTAGAGCGTCGGCCTGCGGTCCAGAGAGACCCGGGTTCGGTTCCCTCTAAGGGCACATACCTCTGTTGCAGTTTGTCCCCGGCCCTGGTTGGGGTCGTGCAGTTGGCAACCACTTGATGTGTCCCTTTCACGTTGATGTTTCTCTCTATACCGCCCCCCTGCCCCCCCCCCCCCACTTTATCTGAACAAAAAAAAATGGAAAAATGTCCTTGGGTGAGGATAAAAAAAAACCTATATATATCTCTCTTAATTGGTTAGTAACTACCCGAGTACTTAACTACCTGTTTAAACTGTGTTGACTTACCAGATGTTGGCATTTTAGCGTCCATTGAACAACCCCAGGATATTATTGGACACCATTGTGAGTGCCAGATTTCAATTCTTTTAAATTAATGAAATCACCTTGATATGAAGGGAAAGTAAAATTAGTAAAAATTTGACACCAAGCTAGAGGATTTTTATAGAGAGCATTTTATTTTGATAAGTCAATTATTTACCTGAGCTACATATTTTGAGAATCATTGGAAATTTTTAAAAACATTAAAAAATATGTAAATCACAAGTTGGGAGAAGAGATAACTTGCCTCTCCCTCCGTTGCCCATGCTCCAGAGGTAACTGGAGACTAAATTTAGTTGGATGTATCCGCTGGGAGTTGTTACAGTCTTGTATGAGGGTCTACTCTGATAGTTGTCAGTTTTTAGAAATTGCTGGATAGAGTGGGTTAATGTTTAAAAAAAAATTCTGTTCTAGCCTCTTGGGTCTAATGTAGGCGTTTGTGTTGGGTCAGGGCCTAACAATTAAGTCTACATACTTTTCAGTTTTTCTTGGAATCTTAGGGTGAAAACAAAGTTGAATGTCAATATTTAGTTAGAATTAAAGACTGTCATGCCACTTGCTGGATTTCATCCTTATGTGTTCCAGTTGACCCATACAGTAAAACCTATTTGTTTTGTACTAATGTGGAATTTTGGTATGTTGGGGGCTATAATTG